CAACATCCTCGCGAGCATCTTTGACAGCTCTATACAGGACATTTCTTCCTGAGTCGAAGTGGATATTTGATGAGGAGAGGCGGGATAGCGAGACAAGGCTGGTGAAGAAGGATTGGATCAGAGCCACGCGCTTAAGCGTAGTTCTCTTGATACCACTTGGTGTTGATAGAGGCAGCTTGACTTCACCCCATGCCTCAATTTTCGTCTCAGTTCCTCCTGCGAGTACGACGTCGTCGTCAGCTGCTGGAGCTTTCCACTCAAACTCTGCAGGGTTGTTGCAGATATGAATATCGGTGGCTGGATCCAGCGTCCATGAGTGGGCGAGTGGATATTGTTGAGCTACTCTCTGGTTGTTGAACGCGGAAAAGAAAACGGCATATGCTTCGTGCTGCAGGGATTGTTCAGCTAGTGGGTCTCCTGCGTCAATTTCTATCGAATCAGAGTCTGTCGCTTTGTTGTGCTTGTTAGTATCCCTAGTCTTGGATTTCTTAAAGCGTCGATTCTTTTCCCGAATCTTGTTTAGTATCCCACGATTATCCTTAGCCTCAAAATCAGCAATCTTCTTGGCTTTTTCAGGGTCTACAACGAATCCTCGTTGCTGGAGTGCCGTATCGATGTATGGGCATTGGCCCCAGAAATGACTGTCGCCGCAGAGACAGGGCTTTTCTGGCTTATTTTCACTGTCTCTTGATCGTTTCTTGTTGTTGTACGGAGATGACTGGCCATTCATCGCTGCTCCAAAGGCACCTCCATGGATATTTGCTTTTCTTGAGTAGGTCGTACGGTGATAGCGCAGGTATTCGGCAAGAACAGTAGAGAGCTGGGATTGATGAGGTATCGGCTTGCTGCGATCTAAGTTCTAGATTTCTTCAGCTTTGAATATATCAAGTGAAGCGCTAGCAGCGTATGCAGCGTCAACTTGCTTAATCGCTCAAATAAGATCCTTGTGGGCTCTGAATCCGTGTACTTTAGGCAGATCAAGTTGTTTTGCTCTGCTATATGCTATGAGAAACTCGTTGCACCAGTCTTCAACATTTGATCGTCAAGCATGTAGAATCTTGGCCGCTTCGTAGTCCTTCTGCACTCGATATTCCATATCGGACGTAGTGGGAGAGAAGAGATCTTGGAGCGTCTTGATTTGATCGTGGACTGTTGTCTTGTCTTTAATGTGATATAGTAGTTCCTGTTGTATAGTCTTAGTGATATACGCTTCTACTTGGCCTAACTTATCTCGAAGACGTCTATATTCTTTTATTTCTTTGTAGTAGCTACTGCGATCCTGGTTGTACTGCAGTAAGTCTTGCTAAGATGGTAGAGTTGCAGGTGATCCGTCAACATTGGTGATAGGCGCTGGCCTAGTAGGCTGAACAGGCTTTTGCAGAGGATTAGATGGTTTGTTGGGATCAATGTATTCCCATACGTCTCCTGCTTCGGCAATACGCTTAACGATAAAGAACCAAAGCTCCTAGTTGCTTTGTCCTTGAAGGATAATATCTAAATGAATAGTGTGCGCCGACATAATGGTATAGGTAGGTAGGTAGTCAATTGATTGCAGTAATATGCGGATTAGGCCGGGCTCATAACTGTAAGCAGTTGAGGGTGTAGGAAGTATTGTGTATTCTGATGTGTATCATGATAGGAGCAAGTTTAAATACGGTGTTATTAGTCAGTGGGCAACCACGTGACCATACATGGTACTTCTGGGCTTACAGGATGTCCGCCTATGTCCGTCCGCACACCACCTCAACTGGTCATCTGACACAAACAGGATTCGCGTGGATAAGGCATGGGTTGCATATTATGCACATCAAGGAGCTAGCGAACGAGGGTCAATGAAGCAGGCAGCAGGTGTAGGTGTGGATGAGGAGCCACAACGGACATCCCGAGCAGAGGAACCAATCTGGCCATTTCACAGTAGTGTCTGCTTGGCATCTTCCTGTTGTTGCTCGATTGCCTCAGTACCGATTTAGCTACTGCCGCTCCATTTGACCAGGTTTAGATTGCTTCCTGCTCCGTCGAAGGATACACATCAACCTCACCCCAATTCCCCACCTCTACCGGAATAGCAATGGACAAAAGTGATATGTCTCACGACGACCGTGCCCTAAGCAAGGGCATTAACAACGAAGACGAAGATGTCCCGATCGACTCGCGGCTTGAGCAAAGTAAACCGTTGCTAGACCTGGAAAGCCAAAATGAAGAGAAGCAGGAATCGGTTCATACACCGGCACAACCAGCTGCTAGCAGTTTGAAGACTATGTCGTACCTGACGACGTACTTTTTCATCAATCTTAGCCTCACTTTCTACAACAAAGCCGTCATGGGCTCTGTGAGTCTCTCGTAGAATACAAAGATACGAAAGCAGCTGACGGGACATGCAGTTTCCGTTTCCTTGGATCCTAACAGCCGTTCATACTGGAAGCGCTGCTCTTGGAAGTTCGATCTTCTTGCTGTTCGGGCACTTCACCTTGACGAGGCTTTCAGCACGTGAGCACCTGGTGCACGTCATCTTCTCGCTTCTATTCACGCTCAACATTGCCATGTCGAACCTCTCGCTGTAAGTTGAGCAAACGTCTGCCATGTTAATGTAAGTTGCCGACACTAACCTTCCAGGGGAATGGTGTCGATACCCTTCCATCAAATCATGCGAGCAACATGTCCACTCTTCACGATTCTGATCTATCGCGTCTTCTTCTCGCGAAGATACGCCATGATCACCTATCTCTCCATCCTCCCCGTCATGGTGGGCGTCGGCCTTGCCACGTTTGGTGATTACTACTTTACTGCCCTTGGCTTCACCCTGACGCTGATTGGAGTCGTGCTTGCTGCCATCAAGGTACGTGCACCCTCGCCTCGCGCACCCTGTCAGCACACAGATGGCTGACGATAGCTTCAGACTGTGGTCACGAACCGTTTGATGACTGGGCGCTTACGGCTGCCGGCATTTGAGCTCCTCCTCCGCATGGGCCCTCTAGCGGCAGTGCAATCTCTGCTGTACTCGGTGCTCATTGGCGAGTTCTCGGAATTGCTGGATTTTGTAAGAGCAGGACACTTGACCACAGAGCAGGTGCTGGCCGTCTCAGGCAACGGCATGCTCGCATTCATGCTGAACGTCGTGTCGTTTGAGACGAACAAGCTCGCGGGTGCGCTGACGTTGACCATCTGCGCCAACTTGAAGCAGTGTCTGACCATCGTATTGGGGGCGGTTCTGTGGGACGTGCCAGTGAGCCCGATCAACGGGGCGGGAATCCTCTTGGCTTTGGCTGGTGGAGCATGGTACAGCAGCATAGAGCTGAGGAACAAGGGCCGGGCCAGTGGCTAAGCAGGAAATGAATGTACTATATGGCGTCACGTGGTCTGACGTACCCTACACGGCTAGCGCGGGCCCAGGCGAATTCCCGTCAGCCATGCTCGCCTTGCCCCAGCGCGCGACATCCAAGCACTCACATCCGACTTTACCGAGCCCCTAGCAGAATCTGCCTTGTCCGGCCTCGATGCGAATCCTTTTGCTCATCATGGGAGATGGCCATCGGTCGGTGCCACACTCGGGTCCCTAAGCCTTGCCTTGGCTGCCGCCTAAGGGCGGGCGCAGGGCGTGCTTGTCGCATTCGACCCTGGCTAAAATTGGGTACAGTACGCTCTCCCACATACTCTCGTCAGTATAGACACCAAGCCCCGTGGCTCCAGTCTGCGCCATGCCTCGTCCCAGGCTTCTGTATGTCGGTGGAGCGCTGCTCTTCACGACCCTGGTTCTCTGGACATCGCTGCACCTTGGATTGCTCAACAGCGCACCCAGACCAGCCAGACCGCAGCGCCTCACATCTACGCAATCCCCGCTTACTACTTTCAAGAAGAAGGAACCCCGTCTTCACTTCCTCATAGTTGCAACAAACAGCGGTCTGGACCTATGTCGCCTTCTGCTCTCCGCGTCTGTCCTTTCCTATCCACCTCCAGTCCTTATTGACTGGGCGGGAAAAGGTGAATACGACGCCCAATCAACACATCTCGCCAAAGTCGCCGGCCCAATCCGCTACTTTGCGGACCTGCCACCCGAGGATGATACAGACATAGTGCTGCTTGTGGACGGCTTCGATGTTCAGTTCCAGCTGGGCCCTGATGTCTTGCTGAAACGGTACTTCCAAGAAACCGCAGCAGCCCAGGACCGGCTGGTCGAGCGGTTTGGCTCCAAGCATGTGAAGAAGCACAACCTATACAACAGCATCTTTTTCAGTCCCGACAAAGTCTGCTGGCCCGATGACCTTCGACGCCCGGCATGTTGGGCTGTCCCTGCATCGTCTCTCTCGCCGTATGCATTTGGTCCGTACACCGATCAATCACTGGAAGATATGCCACACGCAAGGCCCCGCTGGCTGAACTCGGGCACCATTATGGGACCCGTTGGCGAGATGCGAGAAATGTTCCTGGCAACCCAGCGCAAGATCAACGAGACTTACGATCCCGAGTATGTCCTACGCAACTCCGACCAAAAGTACTTTGCGGATCTATGGGCGGACCAGGAGTACTCCCGTACTCTCAAGGCTGGCGTTAAACCCGATGTGGCGATACCTCCAGATGTTGAAGAAAGCGATAAGCCAGTTCTAGACGAGGGCAAAGAGTACGAGTGGCACATTGGACTGGACTACAGGTCGGCCATGTTTCAAACAGCTGCAGGATATCGAAACTACTTGGCATGGATGACGATGGACCGGCCTTCTCTTCCTTCGATCCTCCAGACGCTTGAGCCATACCGCATCGAGCCCGATGCCGACGTGTTGGAAGCTCGAAAGCCATTTGCAGATTTGGTTGATGACGAAAATCTCAACAGCAAATCCTGGCAAGACGTAGCACTAGGCGTCAACATTGCCTCGGGCCTGGCCTTTCCCATCCTCCACTTCACAGGCGACAAGTCATTTCGAGATGCTTGGTGGGGTCGCAGCTGGTTCTTTGACGAAGCCGAGCGCTTACGACATGCATCGTATGAGCATCATGACGAAAAGATTGGATCGGGCCCGATCAACGGGGTCCAGTGGGTCAAGAACACCCCGTACGATGCGAGTCAACGCCAAGATAAGGCTGCACCATGGAGCGACACTGGAGAAGCTCTCTCGTGGGACCATCTCTGCGCCCTCCACGAACACCTGTTGTACAAGGAACCAGATTCGTGGTCTTTTGTGGAAAAGATGGCTCATAATTTTGACTAGTATGTTGTAGATTATTGCACAGTACAGGCATGAGAAGCGGCGTCTGGATCTGGATGAATGATAGTTTTAGGGGGTTTACTGTTAAGTAGACAAAGTTGGTTGCGCAAATCACACTCGTCGACTGTTTGCCCGTGTGGCCTTTACTTATCAAGAGTCTGGCCTAAACGAATACCAGACTTGCAAGTTCCATTCAGTAGACACCACCCCAAATGCACATGAATACTCGAACCATGGTTTGGAACCAAAGGTCTTACTTTGGGTCTCCTACAGGGTCTTCCAACATTCCCCTTAACACAACATGTAACGATATATATGTTGCATCGTTGTAATACATGGACAAGCGAAGAATAGTAGTGAAGTGGCCATGATGTTAAACACGTGTGCGTGTGTGGTGATCTAAAGAATATAAATGTTTAGTAATCTATCCTAGATTCCAATATGTTACAGGTCCTCATCGTGCTCTTGTTGAGTACATGGGTGGAAAGGTATTAAATTTCCAGCTTGCACTTTTACACTCCGCAGTTGTTACCTGAAAAGTCCAACTTTCGACCATGACCGGTTTTCAATCTCGTGTCAGGCGCGCGCTTACATGTAGTCGGCAAAGCTTCATGCATTGAATTCTACATCGATTACCCGGAGCTAAATGCGGGCGCATTTCCAACACGCCAAGGTACACAGATATTGACTCAAGGTCTTGGAGATGATGTGAGCACAGGACTGTGTGAGTATTATTCTACGTACCGCTTTTTCTAAAACAGGGCGCGTGCAAATTAATTTCAAAAGACTCGCTGTTGTTTCCATACTGTCTATATCAAGAACATCCAAAAAAGACAATACTTATGTGTGTCTTCTGCCTGAAAATCGCAGCAAGTGGCCACAGTCCGCAGTATCCGTGAATCTGGGTATCCTACGCAGTCTCCCCCAGAACGCGATACCTAATGTCCCCTTGCTGGGGGCGAACCATCAAGCATACTGGAATCTGATTTTTTTTAGTATGGCTATAGCTCCACGCGTACATTGCACGCCGTCCAAAGCAACAAAGCTGGAACAAGACAAACTGCCATGATGCAAAAAGAGTGGAGTCGGGTAAACCAGGCCAAGGCTATACACACCCACACCACCCATCCCTAGCTCAACATCAAGCTTTGTTGTTCGGCACCCACGTTCCGAAGTCGTTATCTCCACTGCCACTGGAGCTGTTACTACCCATGCGATTATGCCCGGTTTTCTTGGTGTTTTGCCCGTTTCGGGTTCCATGTTATAACTAGGTCCCACACGCATACGCCCCGCCGCGGAGCAGCTACAGCTACGATACCGATGGCGCTACTGCTGCTACAGCATGTCATTGTTGGCATGGCGCTGGCACTGACACTGAAGACGAGTCGCCGTATATCCGTCCTGGCGCGCATGGTAGGGCGTGAAGGTGTAGTATGCACAGCCATACGCGCATGCATCCCTGTTCCAGCGTCGCCATTGGCATGAAGAAAAACAAGGCGCAGACACAGGCAAGATAATGATAATAGGATTGCATGCGAGAATGCGATCATCGACCATGGAAATCGACATGGGGTTTTCCGTGCCAAATCCTCGAAATCTGGACTCGATATCCCCATTCTCTCTTGTGATACACGGCTGACTGCAATGCACGGCTTCAAGCACATTCCTGCGCACTACCTCGACTCCAGTGCTGTCGCGAGCAGGCTGCCTATTCTGAAGCGGCGGCGCAAAAGCCTCATCGTTGTCGCTGCATTCAGCATTCTCGTCTTGATCTTTCTCGCTCACAGCACCACACTGCGCCATGTCGGCGTTACCAACACCCAGCCAGGTCAACCACCCGCGCGGGTCCTCCCCCCAGGAAACCTGCACGTGCTGATTCCCGCGGACAAAAAAGATGTCAATCTCTGCAAGACGCTGCTCAGCGCCGGCATAGCTGGGTTCCCTACTCCCACGCTGATCAACTGGGGCGCGCAATTCACAGACAAGAACCTGGTGGCTGGGGGCTCGCACCTGGCCAAAATCAGCGGCGTATCCGCGTACCTGGAGAGTCTGGGTCCCGAGCGCGACAACGACATTGTGCTGCTAGTCGACGGGTACGATATCTGGTTCCAGCTGCGGCCCAGCACGTTGATCTCGCGGTTCCACGGCATCAACAAGGCGGCGGATGCACGGGTGCGCGCGAGCATGGGGGCAAAAGCCATGCGCAGCGAGGGCATCAAGCAGGAAATCGTCTTCTCGGCGCAGAAGAGATGCTGGCCGTGGAAAAAGGAGGATCCGGCCTGCGCGGCGGTTCCTGCATCTTCGCTCCCGCAGTCCGTCTACGGCCCGCATACAGACACCGACGTGGGGTTTGTCAAGAATCCCAACCTCAGGTTTCGGCAGCGCTACCTGAATTCCGGGGATGCCATGGGGAGGGTGGGCGCGCTGAAGAAGTTGTTCGGGCGGGCCCTGCAAAAGGCGGATGAGGATCCGAATTTCGGGAGTGACCAGAAGATCTTCAGTGGCATTTTCGGGGAGCAAGAGGTTATGCGAGAGGCTGTGAGGCTGAGACATGGGAGTTATTTGCAGCGGCTCAAGGAGTGGATGGCTGGTAGGAAGAGTATTTTCGGTGAGGGCACGGTGCGGCACTTGGGTGAGCAGAAGACGGGAGAGACTTATGAGTTTGGGATTGGGCTTGATTATGCGTCGTTGATCGGGCATCCGACTGTCTTTGCAGAAGACGACGCAGCGTGGATTACGCATAACAATGCCGCTGGTATCGCGGATGCGTCGGCTGCTTTGAACGTCACTGCGCTGCCTATCCGCGTACAAACACTTGCAGAGGATATCTCGTCGTCGCAACCACCGTTTCGCCCGGCCGTTCTCGCCCCAGACGCACACTTCGACATGACCACGTCGTGGACCGATGTCCCGCTGTACACCAACATGTGGACGGCCGTAGTGCCTGGGCTCATCCACCACAATGCGCATCGCGATGGGATGAAGAAGCTGCGAAAGACGTGGTGGGATCGCCCGTGGTTCTTTTCACATGCGCGCCGCTTGTACGAGTCGCACGTCAAAGGACCTGTGGCTCCTGTCGCAGTAGTCAGGGATGAGGAAATGGGTACAGAGCAGGCGTGGTGGAGTCCCATTGCAGACAAAGGGGGGGCAAAGTCGGACAAGGGCGAGTGGCTGGGCTGGGGTGAGCTGTGTGGTACATTTGAATCAGAGATTTTTAGGGATGCTTGATTGGTGCTTGGTTTGTTACTTGGATGTGCACATGATACCTTGTTGGAATGGAAGAATTAATGAAATTTGAATTTCGACTATGACAATTTGAGAATACCAGTAAGAAGAGTGATTAAGCCAGCATCCTACAGCCGGTGTTGTTTCATAAGCAAAAAGTGAAAACCCAAAAGAAAGTGAAATCATGTCCTAGACAACCCTCCTGACAAAGCCTCCTCCATAGCTCGAGCTGACTCAATGAATCGCATGACAGAATCTGTCCTCTTCCAAGCCCTGCCGTAACCAACTTGCATCATCATGGTTTACCGGCACGTTCGTTAGCTACCTAGAAGCATTTCATCTTAGGGGATCCATCTGCCCGAAAGCAGTGAAGCAGCGATAGGCTGGATGAGGTGATGGAGGCGATTAGTTCCCAAGGGCTCATAGGAGGCATTTCAACATCCTTGGAGACAATCTCGTACTCTGCTAGCAACTCTGGGGTTGTCCTATCATGAGGGATAGCAACCCACTCTTGGCTTAGGTCGAGCTCGCCATATGGGGTCCCACAATCTGCAGGTGTAGGATGCTGCGGCCAATGTGACCTCTGCCCGATAGATCCTGCAGCTGTGTCTAGGTCTGCATCTAGCTCTCTGTAGTTGGCGCAATGAACACAGCGTGAGTAGAGGCGTCCTCTCACTGAAGAATCTCGGTTGGCGAATATGGAGTCGACTTGTTGTGCTTGTGGATTGACGGGGAATCTGCCGTTCCTGGAGCTGAAGTCTGCTAGTTTTTGTCCAAGATATGCGTGAGCATCATTCCACGGACAACTGTTTCCAGTCGACTGTGAGGATGGACTGCAGTCGTCTTGGCTAAAAAGGCCATCTGGGAAACAAGGAGGCGGGAATTGTATGGTTGGAAGAATGGATGCATTCGACTCCTCCCTTCCAATCACAAAGTCGCATATCCCTAGATAGTCTTCTATATCATCCAGTGTGGGTGACTCTGGTGCATCTGGTTGCTGTTCGGGGCAATGTGTTGCCAGAGGCTGCGAGGGTAAAGTATCGCAGTTATGTACGGTGGCGTCTTCATGCTGTACCCACTGCTCTGTGAACCCTGGTTGTGTGAAGGCTTTGTTTACAACATGTGGATGAAGTGCTGTGTCACTCAAACCAGGAAATGTCATGTCGCCGAATGGAGAGTTGAAGCCTTGAGACAGCGGATGAACTGGCATATTTTGACGCAAGTTCTGCCTGAGCGTACTGGACATCTCTTTGCCAACAAGCTTGGAAGTGGATGATGATGCCATGAAGTCGTTCAGGGAAAGTCTTGTTGTGGAAGTTGGTTGGGATTCCGGCGAGGGGGGAGCTTGACGGTCTCGCAAGGACTGTATGCTTGAGGAGTATGTTGTCAGTCTTGTTTGGTGACAGTGTGGGGGGTTTGCTGATGCGTAAGAAGCGGTGGCTGTTGGTGCTCTTTGTGCGTGATTGTCTTTTAGAGAATTGGTGAGGATATGTGAATCCCCGGGGGCTCTTTTTATACTTTGAGGTTTCAGGAATTTAGATTTGGACGGAAATCGACCCATGGTAACTGGGCAGTCAAGAAATGCCTCAACTATAAATGAGGGTGGTTTTTGCGGGGCCTGCGAAGATACAGTCGAAGCATGTGCTGTTGGCCGTGGCAAGTAGAGACGCGTCTTTTGGTGCAATGCTGATTTCTGCGAACGACGTGTGGTGGAAACTGTGTTTGGGCGGAGCTGTGGCGACCAATGGGAACTGCCAGTTTTGAAGCAAGCAGTCATGTTGGCCGGTTGTAAGGCTCGAGTATGATTAACATCATGAGGACCTCCAGTCTGGGCTGGCACATTATCAAGGCAGGGCGCAACGAGCTTCTGGTAGAACGCGCTAATGACTTCTTTGACATGTAGGTTGTCGTAATTTGGGTTTCTGTTATCAATGTCATGATGCACTCGGCGGCGTGTGCCCTTCCGTCGCAGGCCAACACTGTGGGTCGGTAAGCCGGGAGCCCATGTTGGATTCGTGGGCGTCTCATCAGGCCCTGCTAGAAGGCTGAATCTATTTGCTATAAGATCTTAGATGCGGTTTTTTGAGGCACAGCAGAGCATGAACGTACGAGTGGGAGTAAAATTGCACTGATTAGGAGTCATGCCAGAAGCGCCAATGGAGATGCTCGACTAGGAAATGATGGATTGGGTAATATAGGTTCGGAAGATGATGTGGTTCGAGGGATGACGAGAAACTGCTAGAGATGTCATGGCGTGGTGCATGCCATGCTGCTATGAGATGTGGTCGTATGAGAAGAGTAGGGGCGGACTGCATGGTTGGACATGAGTGCCGTGTGATTGGCTCATGGGGCAAGTAAGACGGTTGTGGTATTGGGCGGACCAGTTGTGATGTAAGCAGCGGCTCAGTTGTGGTTCGGTGCTAACAGATTGCTTGGATTTGTGCATGGATTGATTCGCGTAGCGTGAAGATGATCGGCCAGAATATGTGGTTGTCGGATGGGAAGAGGATGAGGGTCGAGCAGTGGTAGAGCGGCGGCGATGACTAAGGGAGCTTGGGCCAAGGCGCCGAGCGAAAAAGTGGGGCACGGGTCGGGTGGCTCCATGTCTGCCTGCGCTCTTGCTCGCGGCCTCAGACTTGACTTGTCTGCAACCCCACCCCGCAATTACTTTCACCCGCACACACTCACTCACTTACTCACCCATTCACTCTCCTTCTTCGTCACCTCCACCCTCGCCCTCGCCTCCCCCCCTCCATCCCAGGGCGCTCCAGGATAATTGGCAACAATCACGAGGCTGCAATTACCTGGAGCCGCTGCAGCCATCCCACTCCCTGTTTCGCTCCTTCTCTCTCTCTCTTGTCTGCCCCCCAGCCATGGCCAATGCCTCCCGCGCAGGCGTCGCGCACTCGCAGCATCGCCGCCCAGGCTCGCGCATCGTGCCTGCCATTCCCTACCGCCTCTCCAAGGCCCAGCCATCAGCACGACCCATCACGCCTGAAGAGTCGACCAAGGGCACCGCCGTTCCGCCCACCGAGCTGCCCCCGGACCAGCAGCACCACCAGCAGGAGGGACAGTCGCCGCAGCAGGAACAGCATGACCAGCAAGATGATGAGCTCTCGCAAAAACACCAGCAGGCAGCCATGGCCGATGTCCCTCTGACCCCCGAATCCCGAGCCTCGGCCGACGACGAAACCAAGAACGACGCACATGCACCGGCGTCGACTAGCTTCACTGCAAAACTGCCAGACCAGCAGAGGCCACCTGCACGCGCTTCCGGTGGGTATCCAACACGGAATGCTGCTTCTGTAGAGCACGGGCTAAACGCTGGAGACGCAGGCAACCGGGCCCCGAATCCGAAGCACACGCAGAACCACGCCCAGACTCAGAACCACGTCAATGGCCACGCCGCCGCCAAAGCTCGCACGCCCACCAATGCCCGCGACGAGGCCAAGCCAGCCGCCAATGGCGCCCATCGCAAGCTGACGATACCAACATACCTGCCCCCGCCCTTTGTGCCCTCGAGCAAGGCAGGCACCCCAACGCCGCCCGTCGATGGACGAGACGCCCCTCATGCCGCTCTGCCTCGCCCGCCGCCGGGCTTCGCGCCCCAGCAGTTTGCGCCCTTCTTCCCCGGCCCTGCCCAGTATCCCCCAGAGGCAGGAGCGCCCTGGCATCTTCCGCCCCACACGCCTGCACCGCCCGAAGCCGCTTTTCAGAAGAGCGCCGACTACCGCCCCTCGCCTTTTCCCAACGGGCCCGCTCCCTACGCTGCCCCCTACAATGGCCATTTCTCGCCGCGAGAAGCCTCCTTGGCTGCAAACGGGACCCCCACATCGCTCTCGCAGTCGCCAACCAAGGCACAGTTTGAGTCGATGCCCGTCAATGAGCATCCCGAAGACCAGTCCGCGGCCCCTGTGCATCAGGATGGTGCTGCGCCGCCCGAGGAGCGTGTCGAGTCGTCGTTCGAGCTGGCAGGGTATTTGTCTTCGCAGTTTGGCAATCCCGAGCTCGCCGACTTTGTCCTTCAAATCAGGTCTCCCGACTCGATGCTCTTGTCCCTACCCATCCACGGAATCGTCGTCATGCGCAGTCCTGTGATTGCAGAAGCCATTCATTGCAGTCCCGCGCCTACTCATCGCAGCCGGGATACGCGCCCCGTGATCCATGTCCTGGCCCTGGACCCTTTGGCAACCCGCGACTCACTCGAGGAAGCCATCAGGGTTTTGTATGGTGCCCCACTCATTCGCGCCCAAGGATTCTTATACGGACTCCCATCATCCATGTACGACAACCAACAGACGTCTCCTTCGCCTGAGGCCCGCCGCCGCATGCAGCAGGTTTTGGGCTACATTGCTGCAGCAAGGACTTTGCAGATACCCAGCATGCAGGCCCGTGGCGTCGACACAGCCAGGCTGCTTCTGCGATGGGATACGGTGGAGCTTGTCTTGCAATATGCACTGCAAGCCAGCTCTAGATTCCGTCCTAGACGCGAAGTCGCGGATGTCGACGACCCATTTATCACAGCGCTCATCAGCTGCGCCCTCGACTTCGTTGCATTCGCATTCCCGTTCAACTTCAAGCTGCATGCAATTGCGCCGGAGCTCAAGGATGCGCCACGCCTACCGACGTTGTTGGAGTCTCGCCAGCCCGCGCACAATCCTCGACTCAGCAAGATTCGCTTCGGTGACGCGCCGCCCGAGGATGAACTTCAGCCCAGCTATCCAACTCTTGTTCTCTCAACCATTCTCCTGTCACTCCCGCCTCCCCTGATCGAGCGGTTATTCAACCAATTGGCTACGACGAACCGCATTGGTTGGAAGGAGGTGGCAAAGCACCTTCGGGACGTTGTTGGTGAGCGCGAGAACCGACGGCAGAAGGCACTCCAAGGCCATTTCAACCAGATTGTCGACGGGTCTACACCTGCGGCGCTCTTCAACAATGTCTATGTCGAGGAGGGGTTGGAGCAGGTTGAGCCATCACCGCTGCACCCATCGGGATACCGTCTGACGACGAAACGGGTTGGTAGTGAAGCTTGAGGGGCCGTCGACGCGAGTGATGTGTTAGCACACGCTCTTCCCCAGTCCCTTGCAAGTGCATGATCGATTCGACAGCACAGTTTCTATACTGGTACCATTTATTCTTTTTGGGCGCGGGTTGTTTTATTCAGTGTATAGCATAGCGAGCGTTCCTGGCGTTGGGAACTAGTGTTTTGTTCCACGGCCTTTCTTTGCGTCACCAAAAGCACGAAACGACATGACGAAGCATATTCCCCAAGATCTCACGACGGCATTGTTAGTCGACATTGCTCTGTAAATCATTACGGCATACTACTTGTTTTCCTTTGGAGATGGCGTCTGGGAGAGATGAATATACTAGGCTGGGCGAGAACTACAACCAAACGATTTGGACGAGTAGATAGATGGCTTGGGACGGTGGGAAATTCATTGACAGTGTGCGAACATGGAGCGGTGTAGTGCGCATCGTGAGTCAGGTCTCGGGCCCATGTCGGACATGCCGGGGATAACGGGCATAGCGGAAACTGGCGCTGCTGGTGGTGCTGGTGCTGGTGCACACGATGATTCTTGACGGATTTCTCATGCCCACGCCTGTTTTCCCTCGGCCTCGCTCTGAAGCAGGCCAGCGGGGTATTCCTGACGCTAACGCACCGCGGCAGCGATTCATCCACGACGACTAGTAGTGCACACGGGAATAACGCACCAAGCATGTTTCATGACGTGCTTTTCCGCCTGTTTCGGCCGGTAGCGGGCCCTGGGTACTCGAGGAACACGGCAAAACAGCAACACAGCAAAACACCCACGGCGGCTTACAAGGCCATGCAGCCCTGCGTGTATGTCTATGTCGAGCCTGGCGCTGCTCGGCCCATGGTTGGAGCCAGAGCGACAAGCGAAGTGCAGGCGAAGCAACCCACAGACGGGAGCGCAGTCCACAGACCCACCTGCAGCCTCGGCCGTTTCGATTGATGATCTAGACATCCTTCCCGTTGGCCTCTTTACTTAGCACGCGTCACACTAGCGATTGAAATACGGCGTCGTTCCTCTGCGCTGTCTTCTTGGCCTCATCCACTTGAACATCCACAGACATGGACCCCACCGCGCTGGACCCGAACAGCCCTGCTGCCCGTTCAGCAACCCCATCTACAACCTTGGACGAAAAACCCACCCAGCAGCCGTCCCTGGCGTCATCCGATTCGCTGCAGAGCACACAAGTACTGGCTGCAGATCAACTGCAGGAAAAGGACCCGTATGTGGCCGACAGCAGCGGCAGCGCTCCATTAGAGCCAGTGCGGTCCGCACACCCAAGTGTTCGCGATCCTTCTGCCATTCCCGACGGAGGACTATGGGCCTGGCTACAGGTCCTTGGTAGCTTCTTTCTGCTCGTCAACTCATGGGGCATCATCAACACGTTTGGCTCCTACCAAGCCTACTACGAGACGACTCTTCTCAAAGACTCGAGTTCCTCGTCCATCTCCTGGATAGGCTCCATCCAGGCCTTTCTCCTCATGGAAGTGGGCGCCTTGACCGGCCCCATTTACGACGCTGGCTATTTCCGTGAACTCCTCATCGCCGGCAGTTTCCTGCTGGTTCTAGGCCAAATGATGCTAAGTCTCTGCCACACGTATTGGCAGGTTCTGCTCGCCCAAGCCTTCTGCATCGGCCTCGGCACAGGCTGTCTTTTCGTCCCTAGCGTTGCCATCCTCTCTACTTACTTCTCCACGCGCATCGGCACTGCTATCGGCATAGCGGTGTCTGGCTCTTCCTTTGGCGGCGTCATCTATCCCATTGTGTTCCATAAGCTTCTCCCGCAGATTGGCTTCGCCTGGACTACCCGCGTCCTCGGCTTCCTCGTCCTCGGCACCATGGTCATTCCCAACCTGTGCATGCGTGTGCGTGTGCTACCGGCCAAGTCGCGCTCGCTGCTCGATCTAAAGGCTTTCCTTATCCCCGCGTACAGTTTGCAGGTTGCGGGCTTCTTTGTGGGCTTTATGGGACTGTATATGCCTTTCTTCTTTGCCCAGGTCTACGCTCTGCAGCAACATATCACAAATGACCAGTTGGCATTTTATCTACTACCCATCATGAATAGTACGAGTCTGTTTGGACGTATAGTGCCCAACTTGGTAAGTCTTCTTTCTCCGTCCCCCTGATAGATTCGTCACATTATACCTAGTCTCTAGTCGAAGAAGTCAGAGATTGAACTTCTCCCTCTTCGATAATAGGCTTGCTAACAAATCATGGCAGCTCTCTGACAAACTCGGTCCCTTCAACGTCATCGTCCCCTGTGGACTCATCTCGTGCGTTCTTTGTTTCTGCTTCATGGCCGTGTCCTCGCCATCAGGCATCATCGTCCTCATGGCCTTTTACGGTTTCTTCTCTGGCTCCTTTGTTAGTCTCCCGCCCACCATTGTCGTCTTTTTGAGCAAAGATGCGCGGGACAAGATTGGAACAAGACTCGGCCAGAGTTTCGGTATCGTTGCCATTGGCCTCCTTATCGGCGCGCCCATTGGTGGTGCTATCCAGGGGCATCGTGGCTTCGACAGTTTGTGGATTTACGGGGGTTGTTTGCTGTTTGCCGGTGCCGTGTTGCTGTTCTGTGCGCGTGTGACTCTCAGAGGTTGGAGCGTCATGGCCAAGGCCTGATGCATATCATTATGAACTAGACGGGTGACGAAGAAAAAGTAGTTACTTATGATTTATGCGTATGTAGATATGCCCATTACTCAGTATCATGGTATAGACCCTTAATAAAACAACAAACTGCAACTCGATACAGAAATCAAAACATGGAGCATGTCAAGGCTGCAGTCACTACCGCTCACACCACCCCTTGAACTCCTCATTATACCCCTCCCACCCTTTTCGCGTCTTGTCCGCAAACCCCATTTGCCGGGCTACTAGGTTTTCGCCCATGAGAAAGCCCAGGGCACCGCTAAACTCCTCGCTTTGTGTGAAGCGACAGCCGCCAGGCACTGTGGTGCTGGGTTCAAAGAGAAAGGTGTGTGTGCCGGTGAAGATGTAGGGGATACTGCCGATCCATGCGAATGCCTTGGCCGTGTTTTCTTTAATCACGCCGTCCATTGTCTGGCCTCCGCGGGCAAAGTGGACGCGGATTTTCTGGCCAGGCTCCAGGGGCCCTAGGGGCGTAATGGAGCCGAAAAAGGTGCTGTGGTACGAGGCGAGTGAGGCAAAGTCCAGGAACTATGGCGCTGCATGTCAGTGAGGTTTTTTCTTGGAGAGCGAGGGGGTTGAGATGAGATAGAAATGGGATAGGTAGATGTACCTTTGCACGAACATCGGCAGGGCTGGCGGCTATGTCGATACTTGCGGATACGGTCATGGTGGTGGTGGTTGGTGTGATATACAGTAAGGGATGGGCTAGTATCAAAACTGAGGATGTCGATGTTGTAGAAGAGTAGTCTGTTGATGTGAATTGTAGAAGAGTCGTCTATTGGTGTGAATTGTAGAAGAGTAGTCTATTGGTGTGAATGTGCTGATGAGTTCACACAGATATATATACATACTATATCTATCCATCAGTTCAGGCAAAGGACACTGTCGCCAACCACCATGCCTCTTGCGGCTTTTTGCGCGGACACTATCAGCACAGCTGCAAGACACCCAACTAACCCTATTGCGTCTCAATGCGCGAGACTAGCCACACTAGGCCTAGCGGCTAGACCCTGCGCGGGGCCGGACAGGCGTCTGCCTCATGCACTCTACCATCTTCTCTACGCCACCTCGTCCAATATACCATATTCGTTCTTGTATCTATGCCTTGTTGATACAGATGGTCAATGTAGCCGGCCGTTCCAAAGGATGCTCAACCTGCCGCAAGCGACGCGTCAAATGTGGTAAGTAATAGCATAGCCTAGTTGCGCGCCCCACAACCTTGGATCCTTGCAGCAGGCTGACATTTCTGCCAGACGAAAGTCGGCCGGTTTGCCAACGATGCCAAAGGCTTCGTCTTGATTGCGATGGTCCTAGATCCATTGTCTTTGTCGAGGGCAAAATCGTCAAATCACGAAGGACCCAGAAACAGTCGACTCCAGGGTCAGATGATGCAGACACGAGCCTGGCCCTGTGGAAGCGACAAGATGTCGAAGAATCCATTTCACTATCTCCTGTTCTCCAGTCTTCCGTGCAGGACTTGGGACTGAGGTTCAGCGAGTACCAAGTTTATGTCTGTTATTTACGCCAAAATCTCTATCCCAACGGACCCGTCGACCGGGGACTGCAGAAGCTGGACGTCTCGGATCTCGAAGTTAGTCGCGATCCAGCGAGAAGAGAAGGCACACCCCTCTTCAACCAAGCTGCCCTGACTTTTGCAATTCTTCTCTTTGGCGCGCGACACAAGCAGACGCAAATCATTGCCGAGGGCTATGACATGCACGGTGTCACGCTTCGGCGGCTGAACAAAGCGCTCAGCATCCCGGGATGCCACACCAGTGACGAGATCATCAACGTCATTGTCATCATGGCCATGCTTGAGATGTACATGCCCAGTGGACCGCAGAATTGGCTCAAGCATATGCTCGGGTTAGAGAGGATGCTAGAACTGCGTGACCCGGGTTCGCTCATATACGCTTCGTCTCAGACATTGGAGTTGTACAAAGGAGTGCGGCACATGATTCTGCTGGCGGCGCTACGAAATAGAACACCATCCATTTTTGCGAGACCGAGGTGGAAAGCTGTGCTGCGGACAGAGCTGTCACTGGAAACCCCGCAAGAACAAGACTTGCACGATGTCCTGGCTGACTGCTCGGTACTGACGGCCGCCAGTGACGAGATTGCCAGAATATGGGACCCGTACGACGCCAATTGCATGCAGCGGCTTGAACAAATTACCACGACGGCCATGAATCTACTCGCGTCCCTGAGCATGTGGAAAGAGCAATGGGACAGTGATGCGCTTAATACTCGCACCATAGAAACCGACTTTGAAGCGTTCCGTGCAGGTGCTCCACCGCTCCTCCAGACCATCTACCGATTCTACGACGACACGGTCACGCGCATGTTTATGCTATACAACACGGCTCTCATTCACGTTCTTCACATCATGGCGGCAACTGAAGGCTTCCAGTCCAATGCTCACATGTCGAGCTCCATGGGCCCGGATATGCACGCCCATGTTCCGCGCACCGGCACCAAGGCAGCCATCTATGCTGCGGGCATCGAGACGGCGAGAAGCATACTGGAATACATGCGGCATAGAAGTTTACGTGGCGACAAGTACTTTCCGTCGCCGATTGTGCAGTGGGCGGTCCTGACGGCGTGGGAGGCTCTGGGGCGCAATGAGTCGCCAGAGGGGAGATGGATGATGCGGTTTCTGTCGAGTAATGACAAGTATGCTATTGCCAAGGTGGCGTGGCAGTTGTGAGTGTAGATGGGCTCATATTTATTTGTTGGTGTAACCATGCGTGGTTTATGGGGTTGTATTTGATATAGACATGGGCGATATGTAACATGCATTTGAAGGGATTGGCTAATTAGACACGGACATATGAAGGACATTCAGGGCTGGTAGATAGATGCAAGCCGCGATTTTGGATTACCCAGATCTTATGTAGCCTTCTTCTAGCACCACAGTTCGCAGTCAAACATGGTGTTTTAGTCAAGACGACATTTCTAAACTCGCATCATCTATCCGACACATTCGTAATAAACGAAGATGAATCATGGCCCAATTCAGTCCTAAATCTTCATTACCATAACCAACATCCATGTCTCCAATCGTCCATCTTTTCTCACAGCAAAACCCCCTCCTCCCCCCATCTAACCTGCGTATCCACCTCAGACCTGCCCACAACCTTGTGTCCAGTAATAGGCACATTTTTCCACTTCAACGCCGCACAATTCAGGGTGCCCTTGAACTTGCGACAGTCGTTGCCCGAGAAGACGAGATAGCCGAGATCAGACTGCACAGCGGGGAGCTTTTCCTTGGCCACAGCATGATGGTGGGACGGGGGCGCATGACTCGACACGGGGGAGCCGGACCACTGGAGCCAGAATTTGGGGGAGCGGAAACTGTTCTTTTCAAAGGTTTCGAAGCGCGTTTGCGCGGGCGACTCGGGCTCGGCTTCGCTGCTGGAAGCATCGTCTTGGTCAGTGTTATTGGTGTTGTTGGTGGTTTCGGCAGACGGCTCCATGTCTGCGATGGTCCGGCGCAACGCATCCCGGCTTCCGGCTAGGATGACGGCCGGGCACAGCACGCCGGGGAGAAGCAGTTCGCCGACGATGCCCTCGCCCGAGTCGGTGAGGCGGTACAGCTCGAGCGAGGCTTCGAGGTGGTGTGGCGGGGCGTCGCTGTTGGTGCCGAGGGCTTTGTGCCATGCGGGACATTTGACGCTGTAGCTGGCGAATGTCTTGCGCACGTCAAAGGCGGAGCTGGAGTGCTTTGACTTTGCGCTGCGCCCGGTGCGGTTGTGCATGTGGCGCGAGGAGAAGGCTGCGTCCTGCCAGTCGTCCATTGTGGGCATGTTGGTTGGCGGGTTGAAGTTGAAGTTGAAGTTGAGTTGGTCGCGTGCCTAGTTTACAAGTTTACAAAAGGGCGGATTGACGTCATACTCTAGTCAGCATGTGGTCTTGTAGATGTAGGACTGGGGTATTGGTCTTTTTTTTCGACATGGCGGATTCTCGTGGACATATATATATATATATATATATGTAGATGGCCGACTGGGGGAAAAGCAACAAGTCGCATGGGGCGGGACGTGCGTCATGCATACTCCGCACTTCCAGCCTCTCTGGTGCTGCTGTGGTCGGTTAGATTGGGTTTTCGATTATTGGGTGTAGAGGCAATTAGCTGTTGCATATGTAGTCGCTGGATTGCTTGCGTATCTTCTGAGGGATTGTGTCGTTCTTCAACGTACGGGCTATGTGTGCTTCTACCCGGCCAAGGGTACACATTCAAAGACCATCATTTCGAGCTCCCACGGGTCTACCTCGATATTGAAGCGCGTGTGATGGGCGCAGTCCGAGCTCAATTAGGATTTGGGGACAATAGACGTCGGACTAGTATGCGGTGGTCAGTGGGGCGTCACGTGAGCAGGCGTTGAAGCACTTGGTTGAGCGTGCGACTACTAACTAAGTAAGCTGCGCGCCACTCCCGACAACCGCCACCAGACGATGCCGCCCAAGGGCTTCAAGAAATCGGCGCCTGCACCGCCAAACAAGACTCTCGTCATAGACAATGGCGCATACACCATCAAGGCCGGCCTAGTGCCAGTCGGCGCCGAGCCCACGTACGGCGACTGCAGCGTCATGCCCAACTGCATCGCGCGTAGCACGCGTGACCGATGCACCTACGTGGGCGCCGAGCTCGACTCGTGCAGGGACTTTGGCGAGCTGGCGTTCCGGCGGCCCGTGGAAAAGGGCTTCATCGTCAACTGGGAGGCGGAAAAGGCCATCTGGGAGCACGAGTTTATGGGCGAGACGGCGGGGGAGGGGCTGAGGGTGGGTATGCGCAGTCGCCGCAATGCGCAGGCTGTTCGCTGACAGTGGCACAGTGCGACCCCAAGGAGACGAATCTGCTGCTGGCCGAGAAGCCAAACTGCCCCAGAGAGCTGCAGAAGAACTGCGACGAAATCGTGTTTGAGCAGTTTGAGTTTGCCGCATACTACAGATGTGTCGGCGCGACGCTGAATGCATACAACCGTCCTGCTGCGTCGTCGTCGTCGTCGTCGCTATCATCGCTGCCGCAAGAGTGCCTCCTGGTCATCGATACGTCCTACTCGGATACCACCATCCTTCCTCTCTACAACGGCAAGCTGGTGCAATCGGCTGTGCGACGGCTGACGGTGGGCGGGAAGCTGCTCACCAACTACCTCAAGGAGCTGTCTTCGCTGCGCCACTACAACATGATGGAGGAAACATACCTGCTCAACGAGATCAAGGAGGCCGTCTCGTATGTCGTGCCGTCGTCAGAGCACTTTGCCCGCGACCTGGAGCGCACGTGGAAAGGCCGACTGGGGGCCAAACGGGAGGTGGATTCGAGCATCGTGGTCGACTACGTGCTGCCCGACTACGAGAACGCGATACATGGCCATGCGCGCCCGCATGACGCTGCAAAGTCGCGCATGCGCCGCGGGCTGCAGCCACTGCAGGGGCCGAGGGAGGACCTGCTGCCGCTAGGCAATGAGCGCTTTGCGGTGCCCGAGCTGCTCTTCAACCCTTCGGATATTGGCATCCAAGAGGTCGGCCTGCCCGGCGCCATCATGGAGTCGTTGAGCGGGCTGCCGGAAGCACTGAAAGTCGGCCTGCTGGCCAACATTGTCGTCGTGGGGGGGAATTCGCTCATCACTGGGTTCATAGAGCGCCTGGAGAACGAGCTGAGGGCCCTCGTTCCCATGGAGTACGTGTTGAATGTAGTCAGGGCCGACGACCCGATCAAGCACACATGGCTGGGGGGAGCGCATTATGCCAGCCAGCCACACTTGAAGGACGTGCTGGTGACAAAGGCAGAGTACGACGAGCGGGGGTCGGCGTGGGTGGTGAAGAAGTTTGCCTGAGACGATAGCGAATGCAATCACTTAATTGGCGACTTGTTCTCTTACCTCGAAGATATTGCAAGGCGCGTGGATATACTGCATGCAGACAAGTTCTCAATGGGGGGAGGGGGAGGTCGAGTGCTCGGGGCTGCCGTGGCTGTGATTGGCTGGTTTTCGGCGTCTTGGCGATGGATTGCATGTGTCGAAGGGATTTGCAGCACAAAGGCTTCGTCCGCATCTCGACGACCCCAATGCGCCGAATACCGCGCCCTTCACGGGCAACCGACGCCTCCAGTTGCCTCTCGGCGTCGCTCCGCCAAAGAATCTCGCCATTGCCGTATCGCTGCGCCCCGCCGCCCTGCACAAACGGCGGAAGCGCCGCCGCATTTTCCACCACAGCCGCGAAACCGTTTCTGCTGCCCGGAAAGCAGGACAAGAAGAAGCACCAGCAGTTTGTGCGGCGATGGCAGAAGCGTCTCCTTGGTGATTCGGAGCCAATTGGCGCGCACGTCGACCCATATGACCCGACTTCGCCGGTGCGGATAGCGCCAGAGGACCAGGGCGAGTATGAGGAGGTGCTCGACGACGACGGGCCCGGCTTCCCCACGTACAAGCCGTCAGAGAACATCAGCAGTCTGCAGCGCGTGGGCGGCGACGAGTGGCTCAAGCAGCGCGCCGAGACAGACATGGCCAAGGAGTTTGAGAAGCTCACGCTGCGCACCTACACGCCGCTCACGCTGGACATGGCCGACGAGATTGAGGAGCTCACGGGCACCCCGTACACGCTCCGGGACGAGAACCTGCTGATGGCCCAGACGGTGCATGAAAAAACAAAACGCCCATACACCGACTACAACTTTGGCGTCCACACAAAGGTCACACGGCCAGGCGAGCTGCGCAGCCGCTTCACCCAGGCTGTTGCCGAGGTCTACGTGATGAAGCAGGCTGGCCTCGACATGGACTTTTCCAAGCTTGCCAACCGCGGCGTCTACGATGCTCCGCGCTGGATCAAGGACATCAAGCTGGTCAAGTCGGAGAGCGGTGACGTCGCCCTCGCCTTTCCTCAGCACAAGAGCCTCGAGCAGCTACTAGAGACCATGCAGAGCGCACCCGTCTGGGAGCCCGCAGCAGTCGAGCCAGAGGAGCTGCTGGTAGACGAAGTCGATGATGTGGTGGAATCAGTAGAGCAGCCGACCATGGACCCTGACACGCCGGCACACAAGCGCGCGGCTGTAGTCACAACAGACGCTGACACGAAGCCTTTTGACTTTATGTCGAACCGCCCGGTGCCTCGCAGCAAGCCAGTTCAAGAACCGGCGGCGGAGGAGGTGGTTGTTGAGGAGGTAGTCGTTGAGACACCCACATCCACTTTGGTAGAGACTGCTGTCACGGCTAAGCCTGAGCCTGTCAAGGAGACGCCAGCAGCTACAGCGAGCCAGCTGCAGCACTCGATTCTTGAAGAAAAGGCACAGCAGCTGGCCAAGGACTTTGCGGCTCTGAAGAGGGCTGTGCAGCAGGCTCGGACAAGCGCATCTGCCGTCAAGCCCGAAGAGACGAAATGGCGACAAATCCCCGTGACTGACGTGGACCTCAAGTTTGCTGTAAGTGCTATACTGAATTGAATTACGCACGGGCGGCACTGACACGACTAGCTCTACAAACGTCTCTACCAATTGACAGGCTGCTGCATCTCAGACTCGGAACTCTCGTCGGCAAAGACGCTTGGTGACTTGTACAACAGCCTCTGCCAGGCTGCCAAGCCGCAACCGACCAGCCTCTTCTCGGCCATTCACGTCGAAGGGCAACGGGCGCGTGAAAAGGCCAAGCAGCAAGCCGCCATGGACAAGAAGCACAAGGCTGACCTGGGAGACTTGATCCACCTGGGCAATGTCGAGATTCGCCGGGTCAAGGCGACCCAGGCGGAGAAGCGGACCAGGATTGGTCTGGACAAGGTGGTCAACTATGCACTGTGGGAGCGCGGGCTGGGCGATGGCATGCCAGTAAGGGCAGCCAAGCGGGGCAAGCGAAAGACGCGGGTAGTTGGATTGTCACGCAAGCGTCCCGAGTTTTCGAAGCCGCTGAGCAGCAAGGGGGCCAGCTTCTTGGAGAAGAAGACGAAGGAATGGCACGAGCAGCGCGATAAGCTTGCCGGTGCCTCGGTAGCGTAGGGCGGAACATGTGGCGTCGCTGCAAACCATGTATGCATATGTACTCTACAAGTAGGACCGTGTTGGCGCCAGTCCGAGAAGACGGCTCCCCTGCGCTTGAGCCACTGTATACGTACTGTATTCCACCATGTGTCGGCACTTCTTCGCTCGCGGTGCCAGTGCCGTGATCGCGGATTGCCTGTGGGCCGTAAGGAGGGTAGTGTGGCGCACCCGCGAGGCCCAATGCGGTTAGCCGGCCGGGGCTTAGCCATGGCTGCCAGGAAGCAACTCAGTCGACCATGGGCGGCGGTGGCGCTACTATAGCACTATTCCCTAATAGGACTAGCGCCTACCTAAAGCAATTTCTTATAGTAATAAATACTTTTATATAGTAAAATAGTAGTATAAGTTATTAAAATATAAAAATTACTTTTTATATAACATAGTTCACAAGTGAGTCACTAACCCAAGCAAGTCGCTAGCGCCCCACTAGCCTATTCACTTTATCACTATAACGCGTAATGTCTTAAAAACATAATTATTTATTAATATATTCTAAATCTAATCTTTAACTTACTCTTTTTAACGTCTAGTTATAACGTGTTTAGAGTGTAAACTATACTACTACTATCTACAACGTTTTATAAAGAACTTTATTTAATTAATACGCTAAAAAGCGCCTTTAATATAACTATAAGCTAAAGTTAAAGTATCTAGATAAGCTAAAAGAGAAGGCTATAGTTAAGCGTATTCTTAAAGAGTCTACGTAAAGATTTGCGCTTATAAAGCTTAATATTTAAGTAATAGCTAATAAACTATTAAAGAAGTATAGTAGTAACTTTATTAGTAAGAACTAAGTGTTACACGGGGTTCGACTATACTTAGCTAGGACTCGATCCGGGTTAGGGCGAGTCAGCGGGTTCGTGGTAAGCCGTGTGATTGCCGAGTAATTTAGGTAGAAAAGAGTTATAGATGTTTAACTAATAGTAAAGACAATTAATTCTATAGTAAGATAGAATAACAAAGTACTAATCTTGTTAAGTAAAGAACTTGTAAGAGAGTACAGTATAATAAGTTAACCACAACGAGTGTAATAATAAAATCCAACACATTCTTATACCCATCGTGTTCTGTCCTGATGCTCCCTATTCTCCCTTGGAAGCATGTTCCCATGGGAGCAGTGGGAGCACAATTCTCCCAAGGCCTCCCATTCTCCCTTCCTTGGCGGGAGCATGGCTCTTGGCGGGAGCACACGTCACGTGATCACCGCGGGGTTGTCGTCGTGCCTTTGGTGTCATCCTGAGTGGTTCTCCAACCACTCGCCATTCTAACAAGGGAAGAATCCTTCTGCTTGTTACTTGTAACATTATTCCCCTTCTTAGGCGTATCGTCCTAATACCCTAGGTTATCGTTTTCCTGTGCCAATTCGTGAGGCGTGGGCTGCATATAAGGTCGGT